TATTTACTTGGTGTCAGTTGTAGCAGCTTGGAATGCAGAATTTTGTAAATATAACCCACAAAAAATCACGATCGCCCATCATTTTTTTACATTTTTACATTTCAACGCAACCCACGTACTTTAACGTATACCGGGCTGCATAACCAACAGGGGGTAACACATTTTCTATTCTAGTGACCTACCCCTTGGACTTGATAAAGACTAGGCTTCAAATACAGGGCGAACTAGCTAAGAATGGCAAAAAGGTATATTTCAAAAATATAATATTGAGCACAATCCATAGATAACAAAGCCTTTATTGGCACAATCCACACAACAAGGTCTGTTCTGGCCATTTTTGTTGTTTACAATTCTTGTGCTTTGGGTTTGTGCTGTTTAATAATTGTTTTAAACGTTGGGTTTCTTACAGAGGCACTTGTTAAGTGCTAAGGACAACCATTTTACTCCTCTTTTATAATAAATATACCTTATTCTATCAGGGCTGTCAAATGACAATTTGAAGGTTAATTTGTGGGTTATAATTTAACCTTAAAATTGACATTTGACAGTTTTATGACAGCCCTGATAGAATAAAGTTTATTTTTTACAATAGGAGTAAAATGGTTGTTCTTAGCACTTTAAGGACTCTTTTAAGGCTTACTATGAGAAACACAACGTTTAAAACGATTATTAATCTGTATAAACAGAGCACAAACCCAAAGCACAAAAATTGTAAACAACAAAAATGGCCGCCGTTAAAGTGTGCAGTGTTGCAGTGATGTTTTGTATTTTTAGTACGAGATAGAACAGACCTTGTTGTGTGGATTGTGATATTGAGTAAAAAAAATTAAGGGTTTTTTTAGTTGGCCTACAGGGGGATGCTGCAAACCGCCCTGGGCATTACCAGAGAGGAAGGGGTCCATCGTCTATGGCAGGGGTTACACGCTGCTTGCGCGCGCCATATGGTTTACTCAGGGACTAGAATTATTACCTATAAGGCGCTTAAGGAAAAAATGTTCAAGCAGAAGCCAGGAGATAACAATTTCCCCCTGTGGCAATCTGCCGTTTGTAAGTTGGCGAGACCGTGGTACAAGAAAACAAGGTATGTTCTCTTCAGAACATTACAAGAAAATATTTTTATTAAAAAAAATATTTTATATGTTTTTTCAATTAGGTAAATAAAATATATTGTTTTAAAGTAAATAATATTTACTAAATACCAAATAAAATATAAGAAAAATTTAATTTTAGTTTTTAGGTTTTAAATAATGGGTTTTCTATGGCAGGCCGTTTTAGCATTTATTAGATAAAAATTTAAAAATTAAAGTTTAGCACTTAAATTATGTTTTAACAGAAATTTATATTTTTTAAACTCAAAACAATTGATAGTAAAAAATATTTTAAATATAAAATGCAACAGTAAAAATTTATGTTTAAAAAGATTGATTTTGAAAAGTTTTGATTGTAATATTTTATTCTAAAAAATTATTGGTTTATATTTTTAAAGAGTCATTTAAATGATAGTTGATAAATTTTTAATACAAAAATTCTCTCATTTCATTAAATGTAAGTTTTAAATTTTAAAGTAGTAATTTTTGGATTAAAAATTTATCGACTATCATTTAAATGACTCTTTACAAATTTAAACCAAATTTTTTTATTTTTAACAATTTTAAAGTGATATATTTTTAAGACAAAATTTATAACTTTACATTTAAATGTAAGTCGATAATTTTTAAATTACAAAGTGTAAACGTAGCTTTAGTAGAAGGCACAAGAGTCTGGGATCGGAGCCACGATGCAGCTAGTTTGATCCGTTGATGTTTTTTAATTGTCGAATTAATTAACTTAGTACAATAGGCACTAAAAATGTTGTTGTACTATTATTAAATTTATGTATAAAGAAACATTTCATTACAATAATTTGTAAAACGCGTCAAATATTTATGGAGCAAGCACGATTTGGCAACACTGCGGATCAAACTGGCTGCATCGTGGCTCCGATTCCAGACTCTTGTGCCTTCTACTAAAGCTACGTTTACACTTGGTATTTAAAAATTATCGACTTACATTTAAATGTAAAGTTATAAATTTTGTCTTAAAAATGCATAAATTTAAAATTGTTAAAAATAAAAGTTATTGGTTTAAATTTGTAAAGAGTCATTTAAATGATAGTCGATAAATTTTTAATGCAAAAATTACCACTTTAAAATTTAAAACTAACATTTAAATGCAATGTTTAAATTTTTGAATTGAAAATTTATCGACCATCATTTAAATGACTCTTTACAAATTCAAACCAATAATTTTGAAGAATAAAATATTAAAATTCCATTTTTTTAAATTAATGTTTTTAAAATTAATATTTTTAAACTTAAACTTTTACAGTTGCATTTTATATTTAATTTTTTGATTATCAATAGTTTTGAGTTTACAAAAATTTAACTTTTTAAACTATTTTGGTAGAAAATGTTTTTATTTTAAATGGCTTGATACCATTTTTTAATACTAAAAAATTTAACTTTACCAAATTAATCTCAATAATTTAATAAAATATTTATTTAAGTTAACACAATGCCACCCAAATAAATTATATTTGGGAAATTATTTTTATTAAAAAATGAAAGTTAGAAATTTTTACAAAAATTGATAGAAAATATTATTGTTTAGTACAGAAGTGAACTGTTGGTTAGTAAATTTTGTCTTTCAATACATGATAGTTGAAAATATTATAAATTTATAAATGTAAACCTAAAATTTTAAACCAATAAAATTTTAAATTAAAAAATTATTTAATAAATGTTAAAACGGCGTGCCATAGTTTTCTAATATACACTTCGCGTCAAATTTAACGCACCACCAAAAATTTGCTACAATTTTAAAGATGATTTTTTTAAACTTAACTTAAATAAAAATGACAGTTTCTGACATTTGCACACCATTATTTATTTTCCATGACCTACCTATGTTAAGTTTTTTCATTTTACATTAAACTGTAGTTATTTGGTCTTTAAGCGTATATCTCATTTAAAAAAAGAGATAGCGACGTGAATCAAAAAACAAAATGTTAAGAAAATATGGGGCTATATGGTACAACCCACAGGGCGTTTCTCTAATCGAGTGGTGGAAACCTACTAAGAACATACCTTGTTTTTTTGCACGATGGGAGAGAGTATTTCCGTACATGATACATGATCTTTGTATCATGTTTCCGTGGTTCAGCAATTGACTTTGGACATTTTTCCGCTAGGTGGCGTATCGGCAGGCGCTTTCGCGCAATACATAGCCTCCCCTGCGGATTTGCTAAAGGTGCAATTGCAAATGGAGGGTAGACGCAAATTGATGGGGCTCCCGCCCAGAGTGACCGGGCTACACGACGCCTTCCAGAAAATATGGAAAACTGGCGGCATCAGGGGGCTGTGGAAAGGTTCCGTGCCCAACGTGCAGAGGGCGGCGCTGGTCAATTTAGGCGACCTTACCACCTACGATATGGCCAAGAGGTTCATAATGAAACAGACTGGTTTACCTGACGAACATTTGCTGCACATATTGAGCAGTAGCTGCGCGGGGTTTGTAGCTGCCTCCATGGGCACGCCAGCTGACGTCATCAAAACCAGGGTTATGAATCAGCCTTTCGACGACAAGGGGAGGTATGTAGAATACAGGGGAAAAAGTCTTAGTCAGACTAATAGCAAGATTTGGGAGTCTTCTAGAAGACTTTTAGCAGAGAAATGGTAGGAACCTTACTATAGCGATTAAAATAAATATCCGGAATTATTCAGAGACGGTGTATTTGATTATTATAAAATAAAACACAAAGAAAAGTATTTATTAACATTTTGCCGGGGTGGTAATAAGCGAAGTTTATTGCATAATTACCTATATAATAACATGTGAGGTGTAATAACTATAACAATTATAATTTTTTACATACGATGCGCTGGACTTGCTTTTATTGTTGCCACTGTACTGTTTTATTTTAATAGTTTCTTTTTATACGCAAATATTCATCTAACCATTGTTCCAAACACTTTTTAGACGCAATATCGATTTTCTCAGCTGACCAATTAGAGCACAGCTGATCTGTCATGTGATGGCATCTTCCCGCGTTTTCAAGATAGCTCTTCTGTCACTACTTACCAGTGTTGCCGTTTTGCGGGTGTTTTGCTCGAAAATCGGGTATTTTCGTCATGTTTGCAGGTAGAATTTTGAAGCGGGTAAAATCGGATATTTTGTAATTTTCGATCAAAATACTAACTGAAGATATTTTCAGTAAATAATATTGTATGTTTACTAAAATGCCTAATATATATAATATCCTGTTACATTTTTATTTACTTACATATATAACAATTTTAAATTAATTTAATTATTTTTTTAAAACAGAGCGTATGCGTTATTAAATTTAAAATATAACCAGTTTTTTCAGTACCTGTTTTGTAATTTTTGGTCGGGAACTTTTATGACATTCATCCGGCAACACTGTATAAAACACACGAACCAATGAAAGCATCTCGAAGATCAACCATATTTGTTTTATGAGTTTTATAATCTGGGTATGAGTTCGACTGTCGACCATATCATGCCTATGCGTTGCGAAGAATTGTTATAGTTATTATACCTTATATATGTACTTAATCAACAAGGGATCTGTATGTACGCAAACCAAACGTATCTCCCACTGTTTTATTCTGTTCAATTAAAATAAAGTTTGTTTACCTACATTGTAAACATTGCTTCCGTGTTTTTATAAGCCTTATAACAACACAAAAACAGTGTTTATAAATCCTTTTCATTGTGCTTTCTTTTGCAATAACCAAATACGACATCTCTGAATAATTCCGGATATTTATTTTATCGCTATAGGTACCTACCATTTCTCTGCTAAAAGTCTTATTAACTCTTAAAAAGTCTTATTAAGTCTTCCAAAAGACTCCCAAATCTTGCTATTAGTTTGACTTATTCAAGACTTTTTCAAGTATTATTAAGACTTTTTAATAGAAAGTAAGTAAACAACCACATTTGAATATATCTAACAATTTATTATTATTTTTAAAACATCAAAGTTGCGTAAAAAATATTCGTCCGGCGTTGTCGAGTTTCCTATTTGCAGTAACCGGCAACCCAGCCTGACTCTTTGTAGCAAAATCCTGAGCAACAGTTGCCTTGACTTCCGTCAGGTTGGCAACCGTCGCGGTTTTTAATGCAGGCCAAAACCGGCCCTTGGACCAATAAAATGGCGAAGACGATGCAGAAAAGTGCGGTTAAGAATTGCATTTTGGATCTGAAAATTAAAAAAAATATTCAGCGTTTTTTGTTTGGTTTCTAAATCTATTCCGCCATAAAATTGGGGGAATTACTGTCCGTTCAGGCTAAGTTGAGCGGTCTCAGGAATGTCACCCCGTCCATCATCTCTATGTTCAGGCACAATTAAATACATGTATTTCGGTAGCCGCTCTGTACGAACAAACGGCAAGCCGCGGCACTGATAAATCATCTTCTTGTTACTGAAATCTTGCGACGATTCGATGTTTAATTTAAATAACGGCCACATGATCCCCCACCAAAGCGCTCAACTTAGCCTGAACGGACTGTACAGTGAAAACTACTATGGGTAAAGTAGACAGTTATTGGACAATTAACATTAATACTGTAAAAACAAGAGTTCTATAAATAGTTACCTTAAAGTCAAATCATTAGATGACGCTGTATACAATTATAACTATCTCAGTCGGTAATAATATAGAACTACTTTATTTTGGGTCCAATATAGGACAAAAAAGTTCACTTTGTTGGTAAGATTTTTGTTTTTTGTTAAGAGCAGGGCTGTGTTTAAATTACAATAAAAAATATTTCTAAAAAGTGTACAGATCAGTGTGTGGTATAAATGGTTTAAACATTATCACTTTAATGCGTTTTAATTTTAATTCTGAAAACAAACAGTAAAATGGCCAGTGTGCAATTACTGGTTGGTAAAAAATGTAAATTTCTATTATTGGACATATCCAATATCATACTCTATTTGTATCCCGGACATTTACCAGCCAATTCTTTTGTAAAATTGTCCCCTGATTCCGAAAGTACCGCCAAAAACTATAAAAGTTAGGCAGTTTTTGAGATACACTCAATTCCATGTTATATGTAAAATTGATTATATTTCAAAAACTGTTCTACTTTTATAACTTGACGACATTTTCCAAATCAGCGAATAATATTTCATAGGAATTGACTGCTAAATGTCCTGGATACAAATTGCTGTTGGCGAGAATTATTAGTGGCTGCTTTTTCGCTATGACATTTTCGACTAATTCATTTTTAGAGAGTAAGTAATATAGTGATTTCTTCGTCACAGGACATCTTGCAGAATAACAGTGATTTAAATACAGTGCATGATAGAGAACATATAAAACTAATGGCAACAAAATTAATGAATTCGGAAAACACTTTTAACATACCACCCGAAAAAATATTAGATATATATAAATCATCCTGTTCCGGCCGAAACATTATAAATGCTTCACAAACTAGAGATACCACACTTAATGATATTTGCAACAAACTATTTCAGAAGTCAGACCAAGGAATTAGTAGTTACCTTCAGAATTCAGAAAAGGGATGAGGAATCCGAGAAAGAAATATATGAATTATATGATATTTACAAAAACGAAATTAAAAAATATAGTGTCCAATAACTATGTTATTATTTTTTAATAATAATAATACTAAATGTGAAAATTATTTTTTTGTCTATTGTTTTAATTTTGCCGTAGTAGTGTATTTAGTGTAGTTAGATTTTACGTATATTTTCTTAACATAATCATATTTTAAAGTATCAATAATTGAGTTATAGAAAAACCCCAATAAAAAACTTTCACACTGTAGATTGTAAAAAGGCCCTAAAGACCAAAGCAACGATTTAAATTAATTCTAAATGACAACATTTTAATAAAGAAAAGAATAATGTAATAATTAATCCCGGGGCATTCGCCATTTTTGATAAAATTACAAAATATAAATTTTCTTACCTTTTTAGTGGTTCTTTAGGCTTCTATTGGAAACTTCTACTGCATTAGACCCATTTCCCAGTTTATATACTATTTTAATAAGGAAGTTATCTAAGTTATTTATTTTTTTATATAAATTATCAGAAAAATGTATTTTTTCTTTAAATTTAAATATTAACGACCTAAATACCATAGAAAACGACACTATGCGTGATTTTTATTTGTTTATGTCGATGCTACGCATTTTTTCCAGGTATGTGTTTAAAAGGAATTGGGAAAATGTTGTTGTTATATATTTTTATAAAATTACACTTTTATTTTTTAAGTAATAATTTTCAACATCTAACATTTTTATTTTAAAAATTTGGAATTTAGTATTTTAAACCTAACCTTAAGTAACACTTTTTGACGTATGGATTGAAAAAAAAAACAAAAAAACACATTATTATATATTATTATTACTCATATATTGCACAGAATGGAATAACAAAAATTGACATTTTTACCAAAACAAAAAGTACACAACAGCTCAACTGCATTATAAGTAAATTAACTAAAATCGTTTTTTTAAACTTGTTCTTTAAGGGTACTATTGACAAAAAAATAACCCTTTTAATTTACCAACCGGATAACCTTAAGGTAGGCTCTATTGCCCTGATAGCAAAATTTGATTTTAAGAATCTTCTAAGAAGATATGACCCGGAATAATGGAATATTCTTAGAACCTTCCCTTATTGCTAAAAATGTTCTTAGGGACTTTTAAAACATTTAATAGATGGGTCATTTTCAAGAAACACCCGCTTTCAGGAAAATGAAGATCAAAATATTTTTTTTTTGCTTAAATTGACTTTTGGTTGGATTTTTATAAATGTTTAAAGTTTTGTTTACTTACATTTAAGACAGGCAGTGCACTTTTTATTTTTTTTTACGTTTTTTTCAGAAAAATGTGTTTAGCTAGCTTTATATATCTCCACTGTGTTAACAATTTGAAATCCAAAATTTAATTCAATAAAAAAAGTTTTTATAAAAATAATTTGAAATAAAATGTACTTAGTTCACAAACTTTTGACTCCAATTTTTTATTTTATTTTTTTATTAAAAATTGTATGCTTTTTTTTAAAAATATGTATGTTCGTTAAGTTACTTTTTAAAAGAAACCATTCCGATTCTTTGTTAAAAAAACAATACCATTTTTTCTTTTAGTCACTGTATTAGTGAATTAAACTCTAATTTATAAACACGTATTACAAAGTGATAGTGTATAAAAATCATTTTAAGTATTTTTTTAACAAAAATTAAAAAAAGTAACGAAATAGACATTGGTATCACAACTATATAGGGTGGTAAACAAAATCCCTTGTAGTGGTGCTCACTTGTACAATTACAACTTAGATTTCTAAATTGTAGACACCCTTTTTCTTTGACTATAAGCTGGTGAAGGTCCCTTTTAGTACTTTTATATTGCGTGGAATTTTTCCTTGGATGTAATCTATATCATGAGTTGTAATTACAAATAATTTTAAATTGGTTAATCATAAACAACTTTTAATAAAAGCGACGGTAAATATCCACTTTGTTGTCGAAAAATTCTATTGCGTTACCCTAAATTCCATTGCGTTACCATAAGGTAACATAGTGGACTCGGTAACGCAGTGGACAAAGTTTTGTAAAACCATATTTAAAAAATAATATAGTCATTAATTACTCTCAATGAGCCCTAAAATAAACATAAACATGAAAAATAGTATTTTTTCTTACCTTATTTTTATTATTTTTTTGAGTAACTTAGCGGACAAACAATTATTACATTCGCGTTACCCGCACCTGTTTCAACCGATATCTTCTTCCTGATTGAATAAATAAATTCAGCTGGGTAATGTGTACGTCCAAACATCATTTGTTAATCACGTGAGTACCAAAAAAGTTGCCATATATATGTTTTTTTTAATATTCTATCGGTAACGAGACGGACGTAACGCAACGGAAAAAATGTCTGGGACATGAGTCAAATTTAAAAAAAGTAGATTAAAATTAATTATTTTATATATAAATTGTTTGCTGTATTAACTAAGGATGTTATGGATTGCTATAAAGCAACACAAAGTTCTGGTTATTCAATATTTAAAAAAAACATGTATGTAAGTTTTATAAAACGCTAATGGGACATGCGAAAATGTGTGTTTCACAAGTTTCAAAATTAAAAAAAAAATATTCTGAAATAACTAAACAAAAATTTTCTGAAAGAGTTTACTAAGGGCTTGTTAGGCTTTCACTTGGTTTATAAATCAATAAGATCCGATAATTTTTAACAAAGTTATTGGAATTCAAACTTACGGGCAGCGGAAGGCGGGTGTTTTTTGAAAACGACCCACGTAGTTTATGGTATATTTTACTATTATATAGGTAACTGAACTAAATATGCTTAACAGGAATATTCCTAAATGAACTTTCTATAGCAATTCTATGCATATGTTTAGAGTAGACTAATTTTTAAAACTTTGCACCTTCTAAGGCCAGTAAGAATATTCTTAGGATCATGCTATATGTCTTTTAAGCATGTTCTTTAGAAGAAATATAGCATGATCCTAAGAATATTCTCACTGGAAAGTTTAAAAAACATTCTTAGAATAAAGTGTGCTATCAGGGTGGTAATATTACTTATAAGTTAAAAAGTAGTTTATTTTAAAACATAATATAACATTACAATACAGGGTGTCCAAAATGTGATGGGATAGCATTGCTATCTCGGAAACGGTTACAGATGGAATAGGGCATCAAGGGTTCAAAAGTTGCGTAATTACATACCTTTTATTAAGGCATCTGAAGATTGCACACAAAATCAGCGGTTTTCAAAATATTTGAAAAAAACTGAAAATTGGTTAAAACTTATTATAGCTATAATTTTTTTATTTATAGAAATTTTGAAAAACTACTTTATATGTTTTAATGTAAACCTTTCAGTATTTTAAAATTCCTAGAAATAAAAAAGTTATAGCAATAATAAGTTTTAACCGATTTTTTATATATTAAATATTTTGAGAACCGCTGATTTTTTTTTGCAATCTTCTATGCCATATTAAAAGGCATGTAATTACGCAACTTTTGAACTCTTGATGCCCTATTCCAACTATAACCGTTACCGAGATAGCAATACTATCCCATCACATTTTGGACACCCTGTATATTAACTTCTAATTTACACCTTTGAAAATGGTTAAGACTAGTTCTTTTTTTAGACATATTTTGCTTTAGTTTTGCTTTTGATATAAATTTTTTCTAAATTTTGCCTCTGAGAAGCGCGAATTATAAATTTAAAACATAATTTATAAACTATGGTATTAAATAATTACTTATTATTTACATTTTTATTTAAACATTTAATTTGCGCCAAATGCATTTTAGATAAGCAATTTTATTTATTTAAATTTACATAGGTTCTAAGTATTTTTATTTTAATAATTATAATTATAATTAAAGCAGTTTATAAATAATGTCATAATGTCAAAAGTAAATTATGTTTATGTTTACAAATTGTTTTTAACAACATGCATTTATTAAAAAATACCGATAAATTATATAATTTTTTTTGCAATTGAAACATAATTCAACTATTTTATGACTTTATTTTTCTTCTTAGGGGTGTTCTGTATAAATCCTCCATAGACTGCCTAAAACAAACAATAAAAGCGGAGGGTGCGGCCGCTTTATATAAAGGTTTCATACCCATTTGGATGAGGATGGCGCCTTGGTCGCTAAGCTTTTGGCTGACCTACGAAGAAGTACTTTCTTTAATGGGTGCCCGCAGCTGGTAACAACATTTTTTCAGTGGGTGTATTTCATTTTTTTCCATTATTGAATTTGTTAAGTTTTATTTTCTGAGCAGAATGTAAATATTTTTTAATTGTTGCCAACTTTTTGGTTTGTTATGTATAGGGTGGCATAACATTATGTAATTGGTAACTAAATAATTGTAGTATAGACTGCCTGGTGTCAAATAGAAAATTGCAGGGTTTTTTTTGATAACGCAATATCAAGATTTGTACGATTTACAAAATACACAATATTAGTAATTTATTAGATCACCATATTTTTTATAAATATACATACAGTATATATTGTAAATAAAATCGTAAAAATAACCATTTTTATTTGTATGGTATTATTTTCCTTTTCCTTGTGTTTATCGATCTATTAATGTGTTTGTTTTATAATAGTACATTTCTACAGAACTATAAAAAAAGTAAGTACTGTTACTATGTATTTATTAGGCCTCTTAGTTATATATTAGATAAGATTAATTTATTACGTTGTACACAAAGTAAAAGTAAAAATTTCATTACAAAAATAATCAACAAACACTTTTGTTTATTATTTGCCTTTCGTGCGTCGAGGAAAATTTCTTGTCAACACACTACTAAACCCTCTATAATCTCTTAATGTAACCTTCAGAGAAACAACATTAGAGTATCTCAGAACAATTAATTTATAATCTTTGTTAAAGTATATTTACTTTAACTTCCACACAAAAGTTATTTAAATCTCTACCTCAGTAATAACATTTTTTACATTGAACGTACACATATAACGATATATTTGATGACAAATTCCGAAAAAACAGTGAGTATACCCTTTCATATTTTAGGATAACATGCTAAAGTAAAAACCCAATAAACATTTTTGTTTTATAGTGGTTGCCGTAAATGTTATATCACCTTATAAAACCTAAATTTGGTTACAGAAATATTTATATCACTCTTAAAGAGCTTATTTGGGAGTTTATAAAGGTTATCGCTACCTTTTTTAGCAACACTATAAAACCCAAGTTTTATAACTATAGAGATAACATCTTAAGAATACGTTTTTGGAATGGTCTTAGAAGGTTTCTTATGGAGCTTCTAGGAAGCTTTTGAGAATATTCCCAAATATGTCAGATACCCACGTTCTAATATGTTGTATTCTACATTCGTAAAATTCTTCATGAGACGACAAATACGCCTCACTGTCATAATATGACAGTGAAATGTATTTGTCGTCCCCTTAAAAAATTTTGCGACATATTAATATATATTTATTTAAAAATATTAAATAAACAATTTGACCTCTAAACCATAAGTTGTATGACATAATTTCATAAAAAGTAAAATTGGAAAATTTTGTGGGATAAGTCAGATTAGATTGAAGTTGAAGATAGATTAGGATTATTATACATAAAAATGTTAATTCAGATATAAAAAATCGGTATACAAATTAATAAATATTTATTTTTAACAAAAAATAAAATATAAAAAAACAAAATATTTCCTTATAAAATAATTCTTCATAAAAGAAAAATCAAATAGTTCTTCATAAAAAAAACATTTTTCATTTTATTTAAGTTGGATAGAAGATTTTATGTAAAAGCCGGATAATTTAGATACCTATAGTAAAAGTATTTTTGTTATCGAATATTGTTTTAATTTGACAAATAACTATAAAAAAATATTTTGGGTTGTGTTTTTTACTTAGTATTTAATACTAAGTATAGGTACCTTTATACGTAGATTATGGTATATTTTACTATTATATAGGTACCTAACTGAACTGAATATGTCTAACAGAATGTTCCAGGAATATTCCTAAATGAACTTTCTATAGCAATTACTTTCTCAACATTCTAAGGATATGTTTAGAGTGGATTAATTTTTACCACTAAACTTTGCACCTTCTAAGAACCTGCCTATAGGCCAGTGAAAATATTCTTAGGATCATGCTATATGTCTTTTAAGCATGTTCTTTAGAAGAAATATATCCTAAGAATATTCTCACTGGAAGGTTTAAAAAACATTCTTATATTCCTGATAGCACACTTTATTCTAAGTGCCATGTTTATAAATATCTAATAAAACATTTTAATTTTTAGTGGCCAATGTCCCGAATCGCCCGAAAGAATCAAAGCTGAAAAAGTTCGTGAACAGTCGCATACCTATCACGGAATGGCTCCCGAAATACACGAAAAACGACATTGTAGCCGACTTCATAGCCGGTCTAACCGTAGGGCTAACGATGATGCCTCAATCCATAGCTTACGCGGGATTGGCCGGGCTATCGCCGCAATACGGCCTTTATACGGCTTTTATAGGATCTTTCACTTATATTTTTTTCGGGACCATAAAGGAGGTGTCCATTGGGCCTACGAGTTTGATGGCTATAATCACTCAGTCGTATGTAGACGGGTTGCCTATAGAATGTGTTGTCCTGCTGACTTTTATGGCGGGTGTAGTGGAATTGCTTATGGGAGTCTTTAGGTTAGGTAAATTTTGAACAATAACTGTTAAAGCTATAAAGTAAAATATTCTGTCCGTAGGTTTTTTGGTAGAGTTCATATCATCGCCTATAACCTCAGGGTTTACCAGTGCTAGTGCTTTAATCATTATTTTGGCACAGTTGAAACCTTTACTGGGCATCAAAAGTCACAGCCATGACTTTCTTATGATGGTCATCGAGATTTTCGAAAATATAGGCGAAACTAGGTTACCCGACGTTAGCCTAGGCATGGGCTGCATAATGTTTTTGTTTGCAATTAAGGTAACTCTTATAAGTTTGGTTCTCTTAATATTAACACCAACAAATCTGTAAAATTGCAGAGAATATCCAGGATCCAGACACGAAATCGCAACCTAAGGAAAAGCCTATGGTTCCTGGGAATATCAAAAAACGCCATTTGCGTATTCTTAACATCATTGCTTGGAATCTACCTGCACGAGTGCCGAGGCGGCGCGCCATTCAAACTAACTGGCGAGGTTGTGCAAGGTTTGCCATCGTTTTCGTTCCCCAACCTGACCGCCGTTATCGACGACAAACCTGTGAACTTCAAGGGAATGCTGGAGAGTCTAGGTTGGGGTGTGATTGTTGTACCTTTTGTGGCTGTGTTGGCGAATGTGGCCATAGCAAAATCATACGGTGAGTTGCCTAGGTTTTGTTCAAGGTTTATTGCAATGTAATTGTAGCGTCTGACGTCGTTGTGGATGCTAATCAGGAAATGATGACCCTGGGCTTTTGTAATTTGTTGGGGTCTTGCGTACAAGCCATGCCCAGTTGTGGTGCCTTTACTAGATCTGCAGTGGCTAGCAGTAGTGATGTCAGAACACCTTTACAAGGTTTATATTCAGGTATGAACGTACGAAAATATTATTTATCGTAACCACTTAATACTGACATTTTGCAGCGAGTGTTATAATGTTAGCCCTCTCTTTATTGACGCCTTACTTCTACTATATACCCAAAGCTGCGTTAGCAGCAGTTCTCATTACAGCCGCATCCTCCTTAATAGACTATGAAATTTTCCCTAAGCTATGGAGAACTGACAGTGAGTACCACAAGGTTTTAGTAGACCCATTACTACTTACAAACGTTTTAGAGTTCGACTTCCTATTAACCATATTCACCTTTGTGGTTGGTGTAATATTCGGCGTGGAAATAGCAATTGTTTCTGGTGCTTTGATCAACATGATTCGGCTTTTGAAAGTCTGGACTCGACCTGTGATTTTCACGTTTATACGTAGTGGCAGACAAGGTAGAGAGTATCTTTACTTGAAACCAGAGTTAGGGTTGTATTACCCCACAGCTGACTATCTAACCGAGTACATAAAAAAGCAACATAAAAACCATAAGTGTCCCATGGCGTTGGATTGCCAAAATGTACTGCATATTGATTATGCGGGTTGTAAGGTATCGTTAATGTTGTTGTGGTGCATTGTGGATATTCTATAATTGATTTTCTAGGCTTTAGAGACGATGTTGAACCTGTATAATGACAAAGAGGTCCAGCTGATATTGCTGAACGTTAGTCCGATTATCAAGGGGAAGTTAAAAACGGTCCTGGACAAAAATAATTTGATATACTGCCAATCCAGTAACGAAATCTGTGATAAAGCATTCGATTTGCAAATTTGTTCCGAAGAAGAAGTACCTTTAACCTTGTCCAATGGTAATAAGAATGACAATCTGAAGGAAAGAAAGTTATCTTTGTATGATAATGTATAGTATTATTGTATATGTATATTTTTTGTGAATAAAGCTCTTCAAAACACCAAATAGTTTATTAATATTAAGTCTTTTTTGCTTTCGTGATATACAATATTTTTGGTACATTTTATGTTTATTTTGTTCAACTAACAACGTCCAAGTATGTAAGCTATGTAACAAATTTTGACAAGTAAATAAAATCTCATGTAAGGTATCGATAATGTTGTTGCTGGTGCATTGTGGACATTCTAAAATTGACTTTCTAGGCTTTAGAGACGATGTTGAACCTGTATAATGACAAAGAGGTCCAGCTGATATTGCTGAACGTTAGTCCGATTATCAAGGGGAAGTTGAAAACGGTCCTGGACAAAAATAATTTGATATACTGCCAATCCAGTAACGAAATCTGTGATAAAGCATTCGATTTGCAAATTTGTTCAGAAGAAGAAGTACCTTTAACCTTGTCCAATGGTAATAAGAATGACAATCTAAAGGAAAGAAAGTTATCTTTGTATGATAATGTATAGTATTATTGTGTATGTATATTTTTTGTGAATAAAGCTCTTCAAAACACCAAATAGTTTATTAATATTAAGTCTTTTTTGCTTTCGTGATATACAATATTTTTGGTACATTTTATGTTTATTTTGTTGAACTAACAACGTCCAAAGTATGTAAGCTATGTAACAAATTTTGACAAGAAAATAAAATCTCATTCTTCATGGAAGACTAACACTTTATCAACCCGTACATAACTACTCGCCCTATAATTATTATTAAAACTCGATAGAATACAGATGCTAAACACAACGTTGATAGACCCTGTCAAATTAGGTTTTGTAGAAGCAGTGCTATATACGTAGAATATATCGAAATTGAAGCATATTGTACGAAGCGATTGCTTGGACCCCACTAGTTCTTGGACGTCAAAATCGACACGAACTCTTCGTAGTTGACTTGGCCGTCGCCGTCCAAGTCCGCCTCCTTGATCATGTCGTCGACCTCCTCCTCGGTGAGCCTCTCCCCCAAACTGGTCATGACGTGTCGCAGTTCTATGGAGGAGATCAAGCCGTCGTTGTTTTTATCGAAAACGCGGAAAGCTTCCTTCAATTCTTCCTCGCCGTCTGCGTCCTTCATCTTCTTCGACATCATCTGAAGAAACTCGTTGAATTCGATGGTGCCGTTGCCATCCTGGTCCACTTCGTTCAACATGTCGCGAAGTTCGGTTTCTATGAAAAAAATGTTTTCAATTCCAGCAACGTTGAAGCAGCATTTTTGGTTCCAAAAACCATTACCAAAGTGGTTAAGTATACTAAACAGCTACTTTAATTTTTACTTTTAAATAGCAATATTTTTGCATTCTTCCCTTAAATTGTTACTACACTCGCAGGCAAAATAATCGATCCACACAAATTTTCGATGAATTTCAATCGCAAATAACTTTTTTATTTAAATCGGATTTAAACGAATATTAAAGAATATTGTAGATAAATTAATGGACAATCGCTCACATTTTAAAAATTACTAAAAAATACACGTACGTTTATAGTATACAGGTTTAAACAAAAATATGTTTTTTACCATAAGTTTAAGACACTTTGTAGAGTGGCAAAACCGTATATTGTTCTAAATTAAGTTTTAATTATCAAGTCACATCTATTTTTAACAGTTTTGTTTTTGGTTCACCTCGGTAAATTTATTTTTGTGGAAAATATGGATTTTTTAAAAAACATTGCAATTTCCAATATTTTCCTGTATGAAGAATTAAGGTTGCTATGGTCCATCCATAGCCTATGGAGGATGACAATGACAGTTTTGTTAAATCATCCCATACTTGGACATGTCATATACAGCTTTTAAAAGCTATCAAATTGTTTTTTGTAAATGAATGTGTTAATTTTGAGGTGTCTTCTTACTTTTAAAAATGTCTCCGACTGATGTTGCCCTTTGTACTTTACTCCTTGTGACGTTTAAAACACTTGCCACGTAATACTGTGACCGTCTATCCTGGATTAAATTAATGGCTCTGGCAACATCAGTCGGGGAGATATCCATTTTTTAAAGTGAGAAGACACCTCAAAATTTAAACATTAATTTGCAAAAAACAATTTGATAGCTTTTGAAAGCCGTGTATGACATGTCCAAGTATGGGATGATTCAACAAAACTGTCACTGTCATCCTCCGTAGGCTATGGATGGACCATAGCAACCTTAGTTCTTCATCCAGAAAAATATTGGAAATTGCAATGTTTTTTAAAAAAATCCATATTTTCCACAAAAATATATATATCGAGGTGAACCAAAAACAAAACTGTTAAGAATAGTTGTGACTTGATAAATAAAACTTAATTTAGAACAATATACGGTTTTGCCACTCTACAGAGTGTCTTAAACTTATGGTAAAAAAAATCTTTTTGTTTAAACCTGTATATTATAAACGCACGTCTATTTTTTAGTAATTTTTTACAATGTGAGCGATTGTCCATTAATTTTTCTACAATATTCTTTAATATTCGTTTAAATCCGACAACAAATAAAAAAGTTATTTGCGATTGAAATTCATCGAAAATTTGTGTGGATCGATTATTTTGCCTGTGAGTGTATAAAGTAATAAACATTTAAGTAAAACTTGGTTACCCCCAAGAAAACTTTTTAACTTTAAAAAAGGTGCTATAAGTAAAAAAAAACTTTCAAGTAAATTTAACTTGTAGCAGTTACTTTCAGTTGCTACCTAAAGATTACATTATAATTATTTTTACTTTGTAGTCCCTTTGCAAGTTAAAATCTCGAAACTGGAACATGAGTTAAAAACTACAAAGTTAATAACTTAAAAGTTATTATTTTAGTATTTGGAACGTTTATGGTACTAACCAAAACTACCGTAAAGTAAATTAAGGTGGAAAAAACTTTAAAGTAGCGAAAACTACTTCAAAGGAAAATGCTTCTTATCGGCCATTTTTACTGTACAGTACCACGTGGTAATGTAAATAAATAATTATTTTAATTGTTTATAAATGGTTGTTTACTTTTTAATAAATAGTGATTTTGTTGGTAATAGACAAAAAATTAACAATAAATATTAGGATTTTTTTTATTTATAAACATTATTAAATAAATAATTTGTTTATACTTTAAACATTTATTTTACAAAAACTAAATTCATAAATTCAACAGTAAAATTTAAAGGGTTTATAAATTTACCTGCCCAATTATACATTATATTGTTATTCTGGAAATTATAAACTACCAGTACATATTTAAATATGAAAAGCCAAGTCCGTAGTGGTTCCATTTAAAAAAGGAGGGATGGTATAATCTAATATAAGTTTGACAAAGACAGTTAATGTAGAAGTAAAAACAAATAAATAAAAGTAATTATAACGCTCTAGCAACGATATTGGAACGTTCTAGTAACGTAGCAGCTACGTTCCAAATAGTAGCAGGGTTTAAAGCTAGTGACATATTTGCTACCCTTTTGGAACTCAATAATTGTTCCCCACTTTAGTCGTAACTTAGTAATGAAAGAGTGATATAAAGAGACCGGCGACTGTCGCAAAACACTTTAAAGTTTCTTCAATAGTCCCATATACGTAACAAATACTTAAATTGTAAAACCAATTCATATTACCTGTAGGTCTTTGACCTAATGACCTCATAACAACACCCAATTCAGCCATTGTGATTTGGCCGTCCTCGTCCTTATCAAATAGCATGAAAGCTTCTTTAAATTCTGCAAAATAAAACTTTAATAAAATTCCTTTCTATATCTCGGTAAAATTACCAGCAACTTGATCCTCTGACAATCCATATTCGGTCTAAAACAAAACAGAAAAGAAGGATTACACTAAGCACGGTTTTACGCTTAAAAATAAAAGCGTTTTTAGTACGATTTTTTTCGTAATTAAAAGGGTTATATGAAGCTTTCTGTAATTCTTTTTTTTTTAATTAAATAAAGCCAGATTCTTTTCTTTAAATGAACTGTTTATTATTTTTAACGAAGTCTCTCTCAATTATAATTACTGAATAAAAGCACAGTTCGTTAAAGCATCTGCATAATAAAATCTCAAGATTTTGTTTGTAAAAACTGTTTATTTGTCCTTTTACAGCAACCTACTCTCTTGAAATGAATTATAAGTTATATAACTATTTAAAAGAGAAAATTTTTTTTTTTTACGCATTTGCATTTAAAATGTACGTAAGTACGAGGTGTGTTCAGAAAATAACGGGAAATGTTAAATTTCGCGGGTTCGGAGGGTCCGGTTGTCATAAAATTTTCTTTATTATGTTGGTATACATGCCCCCAAAGCATGATAAAAACTTTAGCTGTTTTCATTGTTTACTTTGTCTGTGGCAGCCTCTAAGGTTAGACGTGTTTTATGAGCTCGGCGATTTTTCGTTCGTTAAAAGAAATGGATCAAAGAATTTGTATCCAATTTTGCTTAAAAAATTAAATAAATTCTGTGAGTGAGTCTGCTATAAGTAAAACAAGAGTTTACAAGTGGTATAAGAGTTTCCAAGATGGCCTTGAAGACGTTGAAGATGACGAACGCACAAGCACATTAACAACCGATAAAAACATGGAAAAAGTGGAAGAAATGGTTATAAACCATCAGAGAAGTCGCTGATGATGTTGGTATATCGATTGGCTATCCCATGAATTTTTTTCGAAAGTTTTGGGTATGAAACGCGTGGCAGCAAAATTTGTTCCAAAATTGTTAAATTTTGAACAAAATTTTTGGCCAAAAACAATACTGTAATGATGCCCCAGCCTCCATATTCGCCAGACATGCCTCTGTCTGACTTTTTCCTATTCCCAAAAATAAAGAGAACCTTAAAGGGCCGTCGTTTTGCAAGCATAGATGACATTAAAAGCGCATCGCTGAAAGAACTAAAGGCTATCCCAAAGATCGAGTTTTAGAAGTGTTTTGAGTATTGGAAGAAGAGCTGGCACATGTGCATAATATCCAATGGGGACTATTTTGAAGGCGACAACATTAATGTAGACGAATAAATAAATAATTGTTTTAAAAAACGAAAATTCCCAAAATTTTCTGAACACACCTCGTTTATAAGTAAGTGTTTAAAATGTTATTATTTTTTTTGTAAAACTCACACATGTTTTTAAAACGTCTTCATTGCTCGTTAGCCTCTTCAATCTGCTGTATTCTTGATCATACCGTTTGATATTCGTCATTGTGGCCACAAATAAACAACTTTTGACTCTAATTTTTCATATTTACATGTAGTATTTTATGGTGGAAAATGCGCGTTATGAGCGGGATTTCTAAAAGTCGACTACCAAAAAGTTGACTCTGTTTATTTAGGTTTTGCTATTTATTTTATTTTAGAGTTGGCACAACAACTTTATATAAATTTGAGCCAAGACTAAGTTAATTAATTCATTGTGTTTTCGACAATTGCGTGTACACAGATTACTGCGTGATTCTACACACAAAGTTTTCATGGAATCCCTATAATACGTTTATTTTTAACAAGATTATTGTATCGTTAATAGTAAATTTGTCAACGTGGTTATAAATAAAGTTTTTATTCAAGATCACATTTATAATTAGCTCAACTAATATAGGCCAGAAAAAATAGTGAATGGTAGTATACGGGGTGTTCTAAATTGTATAGGAAAATTAGCTTTAAATATATGGCCAAAATACATTAAAAACAATATTTTCATCTAATGTACAATTTGGCTGTGTAATAATATGAATTAAGCATACGAACCAGTGGCGGCTGGTGGATTTTGGGCACACCCATATCTCAGTTATTAGACATGGGACCTACATCAAATTTATATGATTTTATAATGACATTATAAAGACAAGTTATGCGCAAGCAGAATTTCAATTAAAGTTTGCGAAAAAAAGTTAGTTTTTAAGTGCAACCCCCAGCCTCCTGCCCCTCCAAATTAAGATAATTCAAATTAAAGTGGTACAATATTTAATTCACTGAAGTTTATCGACAAATTTCAAATTTTATTAAAAAATTTCAAGAATTACAGGTTTTATACCATTTTAAATTTTTATTATTTCTTTAACTAAATTTAAAAAAATTTTAAATGGTGTAAAATCTGTAATACTTGAATTTTTTTAATAAAATTTGAAATTTGTCGATAAACTTCAGTGAATTAAATATTGTACCACTTTAATTTGAATTATCTTAATTTGGTCGGGCAGGAGGCTAGGGGTTGCACTTAAAAACTAACTTTTTTTCGCAAACTTTAATTTAAATTCTGCTTGCGCAGAACTTGTCTATATAATGTCCATTATAAACTCATATAAATTTGATGTGGGTCCCATGTCTAATAACTGAGATATGGGTGTGCCAAAATCCACCAGCCGCCACTGATACGAACTGTACATCATTTTCAAATAAATAGGTAGTTTTTTCACAAAAGAGAGTCTTACTCGACAAATTTCATTCAATTGCACAGCTAAATCGCGCACGTTATTTGTGTTTTACGTTGCAAGGAAAAACTAAAAAACTGGTTTAGTACTCGATTTCGATTGATTATTCTTTATATCATTGATTAAGAAACTCAACGCTTAAATGCTTATATAGTTACGTTGGTGTGTGTATTTTATCTAAGGGATCATGGTGAATTATTGTGTTTTTAATTGCAAATAAAATTCAAGAACTAAATCGTTGCATTTTCATGTTTTGCCAAAGGATCCAATTCGGTATGTACATTTGTTGGTGCAGAATTAACTAATGATAACTTTACCTAATATAATTTATATATATAAGTTTTGAGATTTTTAAGAAATTAGTAAAAAATAATTTTTGCACAAACATAACCTTAAAATCAACCATTTTTATATTTGAGTTCTCTAAAAAACGCCGACAACTGCATTTTGTACAACAAAATATACCTACGAATTCATGGCAACATAATATTATCTTTTTACCGTTGAGTGGAGACTTTCTTAATCAACGCTTTTAACAATGCTAAATGCTGTTTAAATTTAGACGACTTATTTGTTTGACGATTTTTACTGAATTGAAATGTTGTATATTGTATCTATTATAATAGGGACAATTTATATTTACAGAGACTGTATGCAATTTATTTCTTCATTCAGATTAACACTGTTTATTGAAAAACCGGTAAAAACTCAACCCAGGATTTCCTCTCGAAATACACCCAACAACACAACAAATCGAGCCACGGTTTTTTTTTCTAAAAAAATGGCTGAACATATTTCAATGAATTTGTTTCATACTTTTGCCAGTCAGTGCATAAATGAAGTAAAAATGAAGCATTTTTTGTTTTGAAAGTCAATGGTGGTTCTACATTTTTGTATGTCATTGATACAAAATGTTTCGTCTACTAGAATACAGATGGCGCTGCAAGATAGTAGACTAGAAGTAAAATGCTTGGCATAACATTTTATAATTCAAAAGTTTAAGTTCATTAATTTGGTTTTTAATAAACTATCCACCGTGAAGTGTAGATTTTATAAATATACACAATAGTATTTTTTTTAAATATTAAGGGGTCAAAAGATACAATAACTTATTTCAAATATACAAAACATACGAAATCCTATCCTCCGTGTAGCTATCTTCCGTGAAGCTCTAATATTCAAAATGTATGATTTTTTAAAAATTTGCATTAGTGCAAAAAAGTGACATTCTTACCAAATTAATGGTGACCGACAGGTCATGCTGGTGATGCTTCCCCTTCTTTTTCTTATTGACAGTTTTGTTGTTGGCCTGGGCGGCGGCCTGAACCTTGGCGGGCGCCTGCTTGATCTGCTGCCCCTTCTGGGAAACCGCCGGTTTTTGGGCCGGTTTGCCGGTTTTCGGGCCGTGAGTGGGAGTCCGCGGCTTCTGCGAAACGATGGTGCTGCCATCTGCCGGCTTATTGCGAGCCTAAAATAAAACAAAAACATGAAATGAGATTTACCTATTATTTAAGCGTGGTTGCGTAGCAACAACCGGATGCATGGCAAAGCATGATTAAAGATCTACGGCGTAGCTAGGCATTTTTTTTGCCCTGGAAAAAAAATAATCAAATATTATATCACGAGAACTATGAATTTAATCGGTTAAACTAGGCTCAGTAGTTTTTTGTTTGGTTTTTGTTGGAAAATGTTGAATGCAAAATAATTTAATTATTTTTAATTATTTTGCATGAAACTATTTTCCAAAAAGAAAAATAAAATAAAAAACTTACTGAGCATAGTTTGACAGATTAAATTTATAGGTTGAGTGATATACGTCTAGATTATTTCTCGAATTAAAGGAAACTATTTGACAATTCATAAAATCTGACGTATGTGTCAAAATTTATAAATATTTTTTTAAAGAAAATTCCATTAATTTAAGGTATGTAATAAGTAATAATTGATATTTCGTAAACTACATAACTTATTTTTTATTGTTTTTTAAAAAATGTTTGTTAAAACTTGTAAATAACACCATAAAATCGTAAACAAAAATCTTATATGGAGGCTAAAATTTAATCGCTGTTAAATAGTTCTAGTGATTTAATCGCTTATTTAAACGAAATTTATTCGAAAATTCAAGGCTTTTCATTTGTTCATATTATAATGGGGGAAATAATCTATTATCTAATTCTCTATTATCTAATAATCTATTATCAAATTCCGTCAAAAGTCTTTAACCAAATCGTAAATAATTTTCATATAATAAAACAAAAATTTCAGTCAACCAAATATCCATTCATTGGAAATATTGGAATATTTTACCGGAACCTCGGAAAACGCATTTGTACTATCCCAAGTACCTACACTGTTAAAAATGTTTGTAAAATTACTACATTTTCACTAAGCAGTTGCATAGTAAAATTACAAAATGTTGTATTGTATTGCAATTTTTATACGAATTTGTTGTAATATTACATTTTGTTATAGCCAAAGTATACTAAACAGGTTCCAATTTTACAATGTTTCTGCTTTTGTCAGATACTTATATTAATTTTACAATTCTGTATTGTAGAATTGAATTTGAAATTTTGTAAAATTTCTATACATATTCGGAATTAATTTTACTAAGACAATCAATAAAGTTACCAACCAAAATTTGCTATTTGAATTACAATAAGTGTTTGGAAATATACAAATCATTATTTATTTTATACAACTGTTTGCATTTTTACTATATATCATTTTAAAATTTTTGTAAAATTACAATTGTTTTGCAAAACAAAGGATGAGTAAAATTACAAATCAGTGTATACCAATAAAAAATTATAATACATTTTGAGTAATCTTCCAAGACATGTTGGGAAATCTACTAAGATAAGTTATAATTTTACAATCTATATGTATAAATCCTACACGCATTGTAATTTTACTAAACAGTTTGACAGTTTCTAATAAAAAGCATCTCAGATTTACAAACGTCGTATGTAATTTGATTTGCTATAATGTTATGTAAAATGCATAGTATGTACCGATTGCGGCAATCACGTGATGTTCTTACATCTCGCCTCGGTTGACTTAGGTGGACAGTATAAGCTTTCGTTTTTGGTGTGTTCCAATAAAAAACAATGGGACATTTAAAAAAAATAGTACTTTCATATTTATTTAGCGCTTTATTAAATAAGAAATAAGATTTTTCATGACATAGTAAACGATCAATAAAATACCAAAATTCCTTATATATGTTAGGTGCCAAAAAATTAGCAGTAGACATTTTTTACAATTAATAATTCTTGAATTCAATAAGATGCATGGCCTAGCGTGATTAAAAAGACGGTAGTGGCGTGAAATTAATTAAAATTCGTCTGCCAAATAGCTGAAAACATCCAATTACGAAAACCTTAAAAATTTTCTCGAAAACACGAATTTATAATTCAATTTAAATTAAATTGAGTGAAGGCTATAACTTAAACAAAATTAGACCAAATATTACAAATTTAATCCTTGTATATTGCGGGGTTAAAAATAAAAAATGAACAACCATAAAACAATGCTAAACGGCCGGAAATGTTGCGAGATTAGTAAAAAGCGTTCACTCAGAATGTCGCATATAAATTTCGGGAACAGGATAAGATTGTGTGTATATTTTCGTCCAAAAGTGGGAGTTCCAAATTAAAAACGTTCTGCAGTAAGGAATGAATCTGCAAATTCTCTGGCGACCCGCCAGAAAAATATCCACAAGAAAGACAAAACCATATCTTACTAATTGGTTATTACTAATTTAAAATTATCACCACACTTTTTTTATTTCAAGAAATCCAATAATGCAGTTTGGTTGGGTTGGGTTCCACAAAAGTTGATTTGTGAAATCGTTTTTTTTTTAATAAAATAAATAAAAAACGAACTTTCAAATTGACCAAGTAATATTACTAATTTTAACTCTTGAAATAACCTTAATTTACCTATAACTATAAAACAATATTAATTTTAGTGTACGAGGTGTGTTCAGAAAATATCGGGAATTTTCATTTTTTGAAACAAATATTTATTTATTCGTCTACATTAATATTGTCGCCTTCAAAATAGTCCCCATTGGACATTATGCACATGTGCCAGCTCTTCTTCCAATACTCGAAACACTTCTAAAACTCGATCTTTGGGAGAGCCTTTAGTTCTTTCAGCGATGCGCTTTTAATGTCATCTATGCTTGCAAAACGACGGCCCTTTAAGGTTCTCTTTATTTTTGGGAATAGGAAAAAGTCGGACAGAGGCATGTCTGGCGAATATGGAGGCTGGGGCATCATTACAGTATTGTTTTTGGCCAAAAATTTTATTCAAAATTTAACAATTTTAGAACAAATTTTGCTGCCACGCGTTTCATACCCAAAACATTCGAAAAAATTTCATGGGATGAGCCAATCGATATACCAACATCATCAGCGACTTCTCTGATGGTTTATAACCATTTCTTCCACTTTTTCCATGTTTTTATCGGTTGTTAATGCGCTTGTGCGTTCGGGTCGTTCGTCATCTTCAACGTCTTCACGGCCATCTTGGAAACTCTTATACCACTTGTAAATTCTTGTTTTACTTATAGGCCTTTGTTAACATTTCACAGAATTTATTTTATTTTTTAAGCAAAATTGGATACAAATTCTTTGATCCATTTCTTTTAACGAACGAAAAATCGCCGAGCTCATAAAACACGTCTAATCTTAGCGGCTGCCACAGACAAAGTAAACAATGAAAACAGCTAAAGTTTTTATCATACTTCGGGGGCATGTATACCAACATAATAAAGAAAATTTTATGACAACCGGACCCTCTGAACCCGCGAAATTTAACAATTCCCGTTATTTTCTGAACACACCTCGTAGTTCAAGAAGTTTACATTTTGTTCGAGTATTTTGTACAGACACCTTGTATATTCTGAAATATTTTAAAAAAATGATATGCACCTATATCATTTTTATATTAAATTGAATTATATTTTATATATATGCGATTTTTACGAAATTGTGTAAAATGTTTTTTTTTAATTATGGAAAATTACAAAAAAAAACAATTTAATTTTGCCACCAGCCGATCTTCATGAAACAGAGGTGCGTGTCGTATAGCCGATTGCTAGGATGTCTAAATATAATTTTCGGCATGGAGAACCCTGAGGCATACCTCACGATATATATGTCGTGTTCGGTGGAAAATATTCCAGTATTCCACGGGTCACTCCACTGGGAAATTCAACATTTTAGTTTTTTGTGCATCTTAAGAAAATAAACGAACACAAAAGTGCCAAAATGGTTAGTGGGTTTTGTGAAGATTTTTTTCGATTAAGGATTATTTTTGTGTTTTTTGTTGGTTGGGTGAAAATAGTATATTTTGTTTGGTATACCCTTAAAATTTTGTTAAAATTGTACTTAAAATAAAGAAGATATAGCGATTTTTTAAAGTTGGGCGCCAAAATGTGAATACCGTAATTTTTATTGATCTGGCAATTTTAATGATTTTTTAGGGTTAGATTTAAAAAATTTATATTTTAAAAATCAAATTATTACAATCACTTTTGTTTTTTTCTTGAAATATTTTATGAAAGTGCTTCTTCAATATTCCTAAATAATTTATGTAATGTTTTTTTTAGGCTGACGTTATCGACAAGGAACAAATAAACTGTAAGTTTACATGGCAAGTTTTATAAACGAAATAAGAGTTAAATTATGCACAAGCGTAGCTTGCGCAGCGAGTTTTGAATAAACGAGTGTTAAAAATTATTAAATAGTTTCTTTTAATTTCGGCATTAATTATTTCACTTTCACTGTGAAAAACTGCTTCTATGTTGGATTTAAACGGTTGTTAGTCCGTTTTTAAGGGAGAAATTCCGATTTTTACGGAAATAAACACTTAATTAATTAATTACCAATAAATTATGTTTTATAATAATTTTTATTATAAGGTTCGCTCGTGCCTAATTAAAAGTCCTCACTAAAGTGGCGTTTATCAAACTTGATGCATTTATTTAAAAATAAAAGAATAGGTAAATATTTACCATAAAAAATCTTTAATAAATGTAGTTATTTAGCATAATAAATCTTTAATAGCTTTATTGATGAAAAAAAATATTTACCATAAAAAATCTTTAATAAATGTAGTTATTTAGCATAATAAATCTTTAATAGCTTTATTGATGAAAAATGCATAAAATGTAAAATTTAACAACCATTTTATATCCGCCATATAATCATAAAAAATCAAAACAAATTTTCGATAAAAATTTATGATTTTCAATTAATTTAATCGCCTTGTATACAGGATTTAAATTTAGACAACATCCACAATATAAAAAGAACAATAATTTGGAGCGATTTATTAGTCGTATTTGAAGAATGCGGCGCCAGATTTTGGGGACAGAAATAAAAAAATTTCGCAGCGAAATTGTCTTTTTATAATTTCTTAACGTGTGAATTTACGACCTGTAAATTATCGCCGCTATTTTAATTTTTATATGAAAACTTCAGAGGTCACACTGTTTTTAGATTACAAGAATAAATTTTCAGTTTAGCGAATCGACTATATATCAAAAATGTATTGCTATAGCGATCAAATTTGACAAGAGTATAAAGAATGTTAACTTTAATAATATGCATTTATTTTGAGAGTTGGGTACTTCTAAAAAAATCGATAAAATTAAGTAGAAGTTTTTTTTATAATTTTTGCACCTTTTTTCTTTCTTTTAAATTGAAAAAAAAAACATTTGAAAAAAAAACGTGAAAAAACGGATCGTTTTTTTAAAAGTCGCTTAAATCTGATGAATTTTGAGAGAAACCATTCCAAATTATAATGTGCGGCAAAAAAAACTAGAAGAAACGCGTAATTTTTAAGTTAATTAGTCTTTAAAATCTGTACTCAAGTAAACTGGCTGAATGACCATTGTGCCTCTAACTATTGGAAATACGAAAAAAAACTGTCAATCTGTCAACCGTTTTGCCACGTTGTGATTTGAGATTATTTATCGTAGTATTGGTGGATTGCGTCACAGTCCCGAAAAAATTGATAATTATCACGTTACACAGAAAAAAATCTAACATAGTACCAAGAACAGCGCTGTCATTGAATGCATTAAAATTGAAGCAATCTAAATTGTTATTTGCTCAATTAATTACTATTAAACCAAAATAGGGAAATATTTTGCCTAAATTTCAAGTATTTTATTAAGTTAAATGTATACATAGTATACATGTATGTATACATTGTATGTCATACAATAGTAACGTTATTAAATAAATCAAATTAGTATTTAATGCAATAACATTCTAACATTCTAACAAATAAATATCAATATGAATATCAATAGATTTAGGAGCGATAACTTTTGTTATTAATTTAAAAACAGTAAACGATTATAAACCAAGTGCTAACTACCTATTCAGGAATACGGATTACAAGATCCCATTGGTTTAATGGCTCACCCATTCATGCTATGCTAGCGTTTTTTCTGTGTATAAGTGTGTTTTCTTCTTACTTTGCCATTGTAACACCCGAAACGAAAAATCATGTAATTGTTTTATTATTATACCTCACAGATTGATTAGTGTAATAATATTTAGTAAAAGTAACGTTATGGTGGTAATGATTTAAAATACTAACTAATATCTAAGCATGAGACCAATTTGATATGTGTTTTTCTTGATTAAAAACTGTAACACCCGAAACGTTTCGGGTGTTACAACTTTTTCATATGTCGATATGTGTGTGTGTATTGCTTGAAGAATGCAATAAGTATTATTTTTAAGGCTCTTTCGACGGCCCACTAGCGCCGCCATCGGAAAAGCAGTCACACCTCTTTTTTGGTGTGACTGCTTTTCCGATGTGTTGTCGAACCTACCGAAATTTCGTTATTTCTACCTAAATGGCAACGGACCTACCAAAATACCGAATACTTAGATTTTTGTCAATAATTATGTTCCTACCGATTTTTGGCAATAATAACGATTTTACCCTTTTTGTAGATTTATCTATTTATGTTTATTTAACTAACTTATTTTGTAGTCCCTAGAGACTAATAAAACGCCGATTTTGTCCATATAATGTGTTTAATTTGTGTACTTGTAACACCCGAAACAGAACCGTGGTAACACCCGAAACAAAGTAAAATTTTATAAAAAAAATAGTAAAACGTTATTTGTGACAGTGATTATGTGGTAGATGGTTAGCAAATATTATACTTTTGGAGGCCTGTAATTTTTAGGAATGTTTCCCTAAAAAAATTCGCTGAATTTCAAATAAATGTAACAATGGTCAGGACAGAGAGGCAGAATCGTGAAACACCCGAAACGCACACTTTTTGACTTATAAAATCGTTATCCTATATATATGCTAAACTGTACTTATTTTACAATTTAGATAAAACAACTAAAAACGTAGAGAATAGGGCAGTTTAATTGCTAAAATGTTATTTCAAAATACATAAAAAACAAATTGTTTAGTAAATATAGTCTGTCAACGTAATAGTTTATGTTCGTGTTTTTGTCTTAAAAGACAAATTTTGCAGAAATATTTTGTTCTGACATTCTAGTGCTGCAAAGGGCCTTCACCATGTTTGACTCGACAAAAAAGGGCAGAATAGAAAAAGAAAAGGTCCGCACCATTTTAACAACTCTAGGACACACGTATGATGATAGCGAACTAGAAGCTCTCTTACAATCAGAAGACAAAGAAGGTAATTTTATTTAAACGCATAAGTTATTGCTTAATCGATAGACAGTGCTTATAATGTATAGCCTGTTACGATGACATTAATAACTTACGTGCGAAATATGTGGCTTTTCCACACGCAACTAGCTAAGTAGGTACTCTGGTTAATTAGTTCATTGTTCTATTTTTAGAAAGTGGTCATTTGAATTTTGAGTCGTTTTGTCGAGTTGCATCCCACTTTTTGGAAAATGAGGACGATGAGGCTTTACAGAAAGAACTTAAGGCAGCTTTCAGATTATATGATAAAGAAGGTATTTTTAATTAGGTTAAAAATAGCGTTTAATAACTTTTCAGTTATAGTAAATATTATCTTGAGCAAAAGGACCGTCATTGTTAATACAATGAACAATCGTTCGTAAATTTTCTTATTCATTAGGTTACGATTGCTGTACGTTAAATTGATGAATAATGAGCATGAATCTATGTTTGACACTAATTAATACGAATACAGCTCATGAATCCTGTACGTTAAATTAATAAACTATGAGCATGAATCTATGAACAGCGGTTGTTAATATAACGACCGTTGGACATAAGTTTATGATTACTGCGTTAAATCAATAAACAGCGAACATAAATACATGAAAGCTTGTTATTATTATTATAAACGGTAGACATTAGTTTATGATTATTTTTCATTGAATCAATAAACAATTACCATAGATCTATGATCCCTGGCTATTAATACTACGAACAAAAAGGCATTAGTTTATGATTTACTTAAATTTACATAAAATCCAAGACGAACCCAATTAAAATTATTTGCCAAATTTACTTACCTTTTTATTTAAAATAAAGGTTTACTAGGTACGTGGGTACATTTTGTTTTAGCTACATAGAAATAGGAAAAAATATCTTACACAAATTACCAAGCAATCAATCACAAAAAAGGTTTCTTTAAAATAAAGAGGGTTTTGGTGAATACATTTTATTATTGCAAGATAAATTTACAAATAATATGAACCTTTGGGCTCTCAAGAGATTTACAAAATGCTCTTTCTAAAAAGTTCGAAAACATTATGCTTTCCTGTAAAAAGTCAAGATTAAATATATAAATAATTTTAAAACATATCGACTGCCTTAATTACATGAAATCTTAAATAATTATATTTAAAAACTAAAAACTTAAAAATAAAAAAAATATCCAAAAATGTCAAAACTGTTTAAAATAACTTCACAAGCTCACACACCTCGGTTTCGTCAATGTCCACTCCGTATATTAGGCACAAAACCTAAAAATTAATCCAAAAAGGTCGAAAATGTTTAAATTAACTTCACAAGCTTACACACTTTGGCCTCGCCAATGTTCACTCCTTATATTTATCACAATTTCACTAATAAAGCTTTAGGGTTAAACGCGGAACTAACCTTTTAACGCTGTAAGACTGACTGAAGATAAAAATTGCATGTAAAAATTCGCCACCCAAAAGTGGTGCGATGACCAGAAGTCTACGACAGCGATTCGTAATAATAATGTTTATGTTGATTGATTCATCGTAGGGCAGCATTAATTTTGGCGCGTTTTAAGAATTGAATGGTTAAGTTTGTAAAATCAATGTTTAGTGACCGTTGGGGCAATGAAGACGGTTTATTATTATTTATGTTGCTGTTCATGGATCAATGACAAAAAAATTATTGTTTTAAAGATAAAGAACATCGTTTAATGATCGTCAATTGTTAATTCAATAAATTTTTATACTATATTAGTGAAGGAAATAATTAATTTTTATGTTTTGCATTGACCATTTTTAGTTTATTGTTTCAATGTACTTATGATCAAAAAGCATTGTACATAATACATAATATTAATGTACAAAACAGTTTATTAATTTTACGTACAGTTTTTCTTTCTGTGTAAGGGAAAAACCTATTAATTTTTAGAGCATATTTTTACTATAACTCAAAAGTTATCAAGGGAGGCTAGTTTTCAATTGAAATCCTTGTATAAAGACTTGATTTCCGCAGGCAATGGTTACATACCCACTTCGAGCTTAAGAGAAATATTGGCCGCCTTAGATGACCAACTCACAACAGATCAGCTGAACGAGATGATAGCTGAAATCGATACAGATTCCTCTGGAACGGTAGATTTTGAAGGCAAGTGTTGTAGAATTCAAAGGGGGGTTCCTACTCATAAAAATAATTTATTAACTTGATAAATAACTTTTTGTGCAATCTTTAATATTTTCTGTTTCAGAATTTGTTAAGACAATGACGATACTTGATCAGTAGTCATTGTAAATTAATTTACTTTATTTAGGTTAATTTTTAAGTATATTTTTATATGAACTTAATAAAATTTTATATATTATGAAAGAAAGCAGACTGAACTATTTTGTGTGGTGAGACTATATTTTATTTTTAAAACTGTACAATGTCTTGCTAAATTCATGCTTATATATTGTGATTTACAGTGACGGCCAGAAGTATGGAAAAAATTCATTAAACAATTTTTTTTCAAAAAAGATTCGAATAAATTATGAAATTTAGAATTCAGCAAAATGCATTATTAAATTTTTATATTATATAGTATATATAGTATATATGACTATATAAACAGTAAATATATTATTAATACATAATAAACTTCTACCATTTTTTAGGTATACGAAAGCAACAAAAAACAAAGTAGTAGCCAGATTTTTTTTAAACCTATGCTTATTATCACAAAATAACTTTCAATATCTTTAATGTTCAATATTAAATTTTATATAATTCAATAAAATGAAGACAAAACAATTGAAAATTGATATTTTGAAAACGCTTCCATGAAAAAAATTTTAAGTGTAATTTTCCAAAAACAGTGTTCAAGGATTTTTTTTTATAAAAAAGCAGAATTTTTTTGTTCCATACTTTTGCAGGTCAATGTATGTAAATGTATAAATTCCTTGTATCATTGAGCTGTTTTACACATATTTTAACAAAAAAAACTACAAATTTTAACGATTTTTTTAGATTTCTTAAATCTTTAAATATAAAAGTTTCAAAATTAGATAACTTTTCCATACAAATCATTAGGTACAGGAAAAATTAAAAATTCAAAATTTTTGGAAAATGTAATCCCCACTAAAATATAAGTTTTTTAATGCTTATTTTGACTTGTAGAATTGTATCAGAACTGTTTTTAATTTTCGGCAATAATTTGTTTAAAACCGCTCAACATGATTGAACGTGATGTGGAACAAAATTTATTTTTCATAATTTTTGATTATTTTTGTTACAGAATTTATGGAAATGATGACTGGAGACTAACCAATACTTTATTTTTTGTACAAACTAAATAAAATGTTATAAATTTTATTATTTTTTTTTAAATTTAAAAACTGAAATGTTTTCTATACAATTCCCCCCCCTTCGAGAAATCGTTACTTAGTTGGAGCTTTGTTCAGAAAAAAACTGAACATGCCATGATTTTCTGTCTGTCAGTTGAGATCAGCCCTATAATCAAGAATTTAGTTGTTTCGAAACAAACCTACGATAAACAGTCTGTCATACACAATGGTTTTATGAAACAAAGCCGACTAGGATGTTTATGTAGCGGTTGCACAAATACTAAGAGCTGCTGCGACGGTTTTATGCTAAAATAAAACGAAATATACCTCTAATATGCTATCGATCTATTCTACGTTTGTTCTATTATTTACTGACTGAGATTTACCTGGCTAAGACTTCTGTAGCTACCTGTGCTACTGCTTCTAGCCTGCAAAATAGAGTTTATAAGAAATTATGGGAGGTTATTATTGATTGTAATGAAAATAGCGCACTTTAGTTAGTACACCCGAAAAAAAATTAACCAAATCGCTTAATAAATAACGAAGTTGTGATTTTTTATATTTTGGCGCCCATCGTTGGCGCATCCGCCATTTTTAACATATTGAAAAAATCTTGTTTTTCTTGGTACGAGCAAAAAATTTCATCGGAATATTGTAATTGTTAACAAAGTTATAAGGATTTTTAAAACGGTGGGCGCCAAAATGTAAAACTGATAACTTCGTTATGTTGAAATAACCAAATCGCTTAATAAATAACGAAGTTGTGATTTTTTATATTTTGGCGCCCATCGTTTATTAAAATCGTTGTTTTGGAGCGATTTTAAACCCGGCGCATCCGCCATTTTTAACATATTGAAAAAATCTGGTTTTTCTTGGTACGAGCAAAAATTTCATCGGAATATTGTAATTGTTAACAAAGTTACAAGGATTTTTAAAACGGTGGGCGCCAAAATGTAAAAGTGATAACTTCGTTATGTTGAAATAACCAAATCGCTTAATAAATAACGAAGTTGTGATTTTTTATATTTTGGCGCCCATCGTTTATTAAAATCGTTGTTTTGGAGCGATTTTAACCCCGGCGCATCCGCCATTTTTAACATATTGAAAAAATCTTGTTTTTCTTGGTACGAGCAAAAAATTTCATCGGAATATTGTAATTGTTAACAAAGTTATAAGGATTTTTAAAACGGTGGGCGCCAAAATGTAAATTGAAGCGCGATATGCCGTAGGTAAAATAAAAACTTTGTACAAATTAGTTTTCCTCGGTTTTAAAAAAATATAATGCCCTCATAATTTGGGACTACTGTATAGTTTTTTTTAGGATTTACTGGATAAAATCAAAATTAAAATTATTATTTTCATATTTAATAAATCCGATTGTTTTGACATTACTTATTTCGACATTATTTATTGTATGTATCCAATAAAACCATTAAAAACTTTTATTTTATTTTTTACAGTTACATACATCCAACCAGCAATCGTTTTGTTTGTTTCTGTGAAACAAACTAAAAACCCGGATAAAATATACGAACTAAGCAATTAGACAACTGAATTCGGGCCAATTATTCCTGTATACATTTCGAATTGCCATCGATTTGCAAACTTTTCAACTTTATCCTCCCTAAAAGCTTTGATCAGCAACGTTTGTTTGTATCGCAAACGAGCCGTATTGAATTACAAAAAACACGTTTTCGTAGAGCGGCTGGAATGTTTCTTTATTCATCTAAATTAACAGGTTGTGTTTTACATCCTGTTTTTAGACGTCCCCCTAGAAAAAAGTCTAAACGTGTTAGATCTGGTGATCTGCTGGCCAATCTACCTATTTTAAGTCGAATGATCCGAATCTGCAATAAAAAATGGGGTGTTGGAAATTAGTTACCCCCTGTTCCCCCTATAAGGGGGAGAGTATGAGGACCAATTTTAGTACTGATTGATTTCCCCATTCGAATCATTTAGTTTTTATTTTAAACATTTTTTCGTAAAATGCATACTAACTGAGATATTTCAAAGTTTTAAAATTGCAATCTTCTAACAGATTCACCGTCAAACAATTCTTGTACGTGTTGTAGATTTTTCCGGCTTTCACACATCTTAAAACAGTCGTTTTCACGTACCACCTGACGCGTGGAAAATGTTGGATCTTCTTCGTAATTCATCAGAGACAACCGAGTGTTGTACTTTGCACACCCGAAACCAAGATCGAAACTCAATTTCCTGGTTCTAACTTGAACGCTTTCAAGAGCTATGTGCGGATCTAATCTCCACCGCATTGATTAAGGCCGCTTCGAGATCTACATTATGCGAATGTATACACGAGATTAACAATGGGGCTTAAAAAGGATTATTTGGATAAAATATTTTTTATTGAAAATTAGATTAAATGAGGATAAAAAGTGTTCCTACTGTGCACATTGCTACATTATTGATCAGCTTACTATTTACTTTAGTTTGAAATTTATGGTTTCAGTTTATATTAAATTAATTCTATCCTTACAAAATTTTTGTGTTGGTCGCTGAATACATAGGTATATAATATATCGACATTTGTACTATTATAAGTGGAGACGCACTTCAAGTTGAATTATATCTCAATATTATTAGAATTAGCTATACGAATTTTATTTTTCAGTGTGTAGTTTATGTTTTGTTATGTTTATTTTATGTTGTCAGTGTCAGTTTATATTAAGTTTATACATAATATGTGGACGTTGTGTTTCATTATCAGTCGTTATCAATAAAAAAGACCTAGAATATCTCCTACGACATGTTTAATCCATTTAAAAATTTCTCCTTTGATATTTTTTATTAATCAAACTACCTAAATAAAAAATATCAGTAAAAATAGTATTTTTCTTATTATTTAGATAACATCAACTTGTTTATTACCCTTTTGCAGTAATTTATGAGCGAACTTGTGTAAATACAACCCAAATGTAAATTTCAGTCTTTGAGCTCATGGAAGCTTTGCTAAGCATATTTTAATGCTCCCGAACTAAGTTTGCAGTTCAGAGCACGCCGAACGGCTTTCTTATTTCGATATAGCTGGAGATCAACGATTTACGAGATCTATCAAGCGCAAATGGGTTTTTGATTGAGCAGAGATTCGAAAATAATGTTGTCAAAAAGTTCCGTATGTCGGATATCTCTTCGTACGTTGCAAAGATTTTCTTGTTTGCCATTCTGCAGAGCTCTGGCGCAGATATGTTTCCATTTATGTCCTGGGTTGCGTTATGTCATCAGTCAATAGAGTAGGTATTTTAATATTTTTTGTAAATATTTTAGTATATTACAAAATATCCAGGTTTTTTTAACTTGACCACCCAATTTTAATGTATTTTTTCAAAAGCACGTTTGTAGAAAAACATAATAAATATTCAAAACATCAGTACCTTGGCGTGTCACAACTCCTGAATCAAATATTTGAGTGATTTTATTTTAAAATATATTCAATTTATCTTAAATTTTTCAATTTCACTACAAAATATAAAACATTAAATAATGTATTTTTCATATTTTATGATAGATTCCAATAATAGCAATTTTGAAAAAATTGATAATCTTTGTATTCACTTTTACCGGTCAGTTCTGTGTCCAATGTTAAAATTCAAAATTCCTGCGAAATATTGAAGTTTACACGTCAAGTCCTCGTTTTAACTCAAGTGTTGGTAAAAAATTACCTACAGAGCCCGCCCTTTGCACGACAGTCATCTTGAAAACAATGCAAGCGGCGAAGTTGTGGTGAATGAACGTATAGTTCCAGTCAAAATGTCAGTACTGTGGTGAGTAGTTATTTTCTTACGTATATATATTTCATTGTAATTTATATGTGATTTGTTGATAAGTAGCATCCACTAATAAAAAATATCAGGAAAATACTTAATTCCGAACTATAATCTCAAATTTGTATCCCATTCATCAGTACCGTGTCGTCAGTTCCATGTTCGATGTTTCGGTTATCTTTTTTTCGCAAACTTCAATTTAAATTCTGCTTGCGCAGAACTTGTTTATTTAATGTCATTATACTCATATAAATTTGGTGTGCGTCCCATATCTAATAATTGAGATATCGGTATACCCAAAATCCACCAGCCGCCCCTGATGTGTGGTATTATTTGATTTTAAGATATTTAATGTATAATATACCCAAAGTTGCAATAAATCTTATATTTTGCAATAAATTATGTATTTGATTAGTACCCTGGTATACTCGTCACTTCCCTGGCATTCAAATTTAGAAAACAGATATTTCAGAAACTGTTTGAAAAAGTGACTGGCCCGGTCTGGAACAGTATATTTATTATATTATCTATGTTCTCATAACAAAATACTGTTTATTTTTTTTTCCGAAAACTATATAAACAAAATGAGGTCAAAAGTTGCCCAACTTTTGTAGAATCACCCATATCAAAAGTTAAATATATATTACTAAGAAGTTAAAAAAACAATATTTTACTTAGATTTTGGTTAATCTACTTAGAATGCTAGTTAATTAACCAGTGGTGCTACTTGCTATATGAAAGGCTAAATAAATTTACCTTGCTTCTGTTCCTGGGTACAAATTCTTCGCGTGATGGTTTTCTTCTTTTATCTTTCAAAATCATTCGAGCAGCTGCGAAGGCCATTTTTAATTGTTTCGTTTACTTGTAATCTTTGAACAAAAAACACTTGGGGTTTAAGGTTGATTATTATCGAACGATTTTTTAAGGCTAGACTTATTTAATAAGTAGGTAGAGTTTTAACAACAATTAGTTAATTTTTTTAGAAGCACATTCTCCGCTGAAACATTATTTAAGGTTTTCATAGGTTTTTAGAAGTTTTGTAACACCAAAAACGAGCTGGCAACGGTGCTTTTGTGTTTTATAATTCATACTCAGGGGCAAGGAGCATATCTTTCGTCTACTATAGGTAAATATATTTAAGCAGCTGCAGCTGCAGTAGGCATTAGTCAGCAGCCACTAAAACTTTCGAAAATGCCAAATCAGCTTTTCTCTGACAGTGTTGCAAGATTTTAACAACTTTTACCCAGTAAAAAAATATTTGTTAACTCTAAACCAAATATTACCTGATTTTATGTTTAAGTTTTTTCTATAGTGCTATACTTTTTCAACATAGGTATTATGAATAGAGTTATGAATATTTTTTTGATGGGGTATGTATACCTATGCCTATAGGCACAATTAAATTGTTAGCGAAAAGCTTTTAAGCTTTGTACTTTAAATGTTTGGAAATTTCAGGTATTCTTTTCAATTTAAATGGGAACTCGAGTCCTGCCGAACAATAGAGCCATTAATTAAAATCCCCGTGGTTAAACCAAAATATTTAACAATTAGTAATTGTTGAAAACGCGGCTAGGTAAATTCGTCGAGGATTTGCGCCAATAAAACCAAAATTACTTCCGTTTCGCTAGCTTTGAAGCCTCGAAGTTGAAATTTTAATTCGGAATATTTAACTCGAGATCAGAAAAAAGCAAATAAAAATTGCTTAAAGTTTATAAGCTTTATGAATAACGAAAAAAGTTTTATATTAAATCCTCGTAGATACGTATTTGCTTTCTAGATCAAATATGTATGTCAAAAGCCGATTTCCTTTGTTTAGCAAAAAACTAATAACGCCAATAAAAAGTGGCATTTTATTTAGTTTAATATACTATTATATTATATTATATATACATATTATGTCAACTTTAAAGTAGGTATTTTTTACAGTTAACCAAAACCATTTTCAAAGTAGAAAAATATTATATTACATTTTAATATATATAGATACCTAACTTAATTTAAAAGTATTATACCTATTATAGCAACTTAAAACTACAGTTAAATATTCGATTAACCTTTAACCAAATAATTAGGCACTTTCATTACGCTTACTTAGCCTTAAAACCCCGAAATTGAAATTTCAATTTGGAATATTAAATTTGAAACCATCACGGCGAAAAAAAAACAAATAAAATTGATAAAAGTTTGCCGGTTCAGGGATTTAAAGCTTTATAAGAACGAAAAAAGTTTTATATCAAATAAAAGATTTGTAGGTATTCGATTTCTACATTAAATATGCAAAAATTGGATTTTTATTTGTTTCACAAAAAAATTAATAACGTCAATAGAAATATGCCATTTATCGTACATGTTTCCATGACACTTAGTTGACAGTTGTCAAATGTAATCCAATCGTTAAAATAAACTTTATTTTAACGATTCAATAAAATGGCCTGCTTGTATAATAATGTAAAAATTGTTTTATTAATACAAAAATACAAAAGTGTTGAATAGTTTCTAAACGCCAATACCTATTTGAAAAGTTTCTACATACTGACCTTTTGATTTCATTTTGCAGGTAGTAAACTAGCTTTAACTGATAATGCATTATAAATTAATGAAATATCTATTTTTATCACTTTAAAATTGACATTTTAAATTTCGTGCTGCCAACATAAGAAACACAAAAATATGACAGTTTTAACCCTTAATTTTACCATTATAACAACAAATTAACAAGTTATATTGTTACCTTATTTACTTATTATGTGTTTTTTGAGTTTTAATGAATCTGTAGATTGTAATAAAGTAGTAATTTGTTAATTAAAATACAACGATTTATTTTTACTACATTGGCACCGCCGAGTTGCAGTCATGGCCTACTGTTATTTATTTATAAACAACTTAAATTAACATTTAAGCTAAAATCAATGGCTTGAACAATACTTAACAAACTTTTAAACACGCAACACAAAAAATACGTTCAATTAATTCCCAGATTCGACATAAAAAACCGAACGTATAAACGCAATTTAGATTTTATCCGAACGCGTTAAGGCGCTTAATTTATTTACGGGAACGTTACAAATCTCGGCAATGGCTTTTACGTAACATAAAATTTTAAAATGCATTCTGTGTACCGCGTTATTATGCTAATAATTTCACTTGTTTGCTTAAATTTTAGCGAAATTTCATCGGGCAATCGATAAACGAGAAAAATGGTTGCAATTCAATTCAAATGCAGATTCTAGAATAAATAATGTGTGTAAATTCTGGTTAAAATTTAATTTAACTACATTTACCCACAATCCATTGTGTTGTGTACCAAGGTACCAACTTGCAGAAACAAAATTATTTTTTTATTTTATCACATTTGATTTAAAAAAGCCAATTTTCTTACTGTTTCTATGAGTATTTTTATTTTAATGCAAAAGGCACTATAAACATATACATTGAAACACAGGAAAGCGAATTAAAAAACGTAAAAATAGTAAACGTGGCAACATTGCGAGTTGTTTATACTTGGTTTCTATGGTAACGCTTTTCGTTTTTGACATTTTTATTTGCAGTGTTATTAAAATCTTATAATGTGTTTTGAAAACGAATTATTAGGTTCTGTGAAACGAATAAAGTGCACTACCAAGAAAAATTTGTTCAAGGAAGTCTCGAGAAGACCAGAAAACAAAGATAGGAAAGCCATAAAAGGTAAAATAATTGTCTAATTATTTACAAAAATAACTTATTATAAATAACAACCGTAAGGGTATCCTAAACGTTTGTTTGTTTCAAAGTTATTTAATAAAATCGAAATTGAACTTTTTAGGCACACCTTGTATATAAATACCCGTTTTAGAGCACCTTATAAGTTAAAATTACTACCTTTTCAAAAGCAAAGGCAATATTGCCTTTTACAGGTGATATTACTCTGTTCAAATAGATTTTCAAGGGTTTAGTTCTTTGGACATGGCCTGGAAGGATAATTAACAGAGCTAATAAAACCTGAGACACGCAATATCGAACATTACCCGGCCTATAACCTTAATTAAAACCACATCCAAGATGGTTATGTTATAACTTTGGCTTGTAAAACTTTTCCTAATTATTACAGCTTGAAGATTGTAAAAGTTTTTGAAAATGAGGGTTTATTATAAAATTGTTAATGTTACGAACGGCGAATCAGACATATTTAAAAATAAATTCATTGACAGATTATTAAAAAAGAAATAAAATTTTAATTTAAAAAATATTGTGTTTGACAGGTCAAATTAAATTAACAAAAGAGCTTTAGTATTAAGCACAGTACCATAAATTACAACTCTAACAAAGTTTGTAAAAGCACCTAATGGAAAAATAAATTGCTTCAATAAATAACCAATTAAACTAAACTGGATAGGTACTTAAATTAAAAGTTCGAGTAATATATTTTGAAACGTTTAAAATTGTTAAAAAGTTTTGGCGATGTACACTGTACAGAGAAAAAATAAAATTGAAATCGATACAAAGCTTTTGTCCGTTTCCAATATTTAATTTCTTTATAAAATTGTCATTTTAGAGAAAATAACAAATTAATAGTTGGATAATGAAAAACGGTTTTTTGGGTTTTTGATTACAAAAATTTGCGTAGGTATTGAATAAGATTTTTAGTTTCATGATCAAAAATGCCCCACCTAACAACCTAACAAACTTTAAAGCCCAAAATCATTAAAAATAATGCATTTTTCCTATGAAAAAACCTTCTAAAAACCATAACAAACCTTTCAAAAATAAACTTTTTATTAAATCGCGCACGTGTCTCGGTCAAACCGGATCGGTATGACTGGTCGACCGGACTATTTCAACGGAACTGAGTCGGTAACCGAACGTTGAATACGTTGGGCTAGCCCCGCGCAGGTGTGAGTACAGGTGTGAACTTTTGCTACCACCAAATCAAATTTTTTTGTGCATTTTTGAAAAACATTATTTTTATTTTATATTTCGGTTTTTTTTTTTTGGATTAATTTGTATACCTATGAATTATGTTCATTGCGGTCAGAAATACAGGGTGATTCATCAATTTTTGTTCATTTCTTTAATTGCTCATAACTTTTAAACGGCTTCGTATTTTTTTCTCAAAATTGATATACGGATTAAGGGTCTCCTACTATACCTAATAAGTAGGTATAAACAAGTTACAAAAAATTCCAGGTACGGCTTGGCCAAAATTTTCCCTGTACATTAGAATTTTGAATTTTTTTTCTTCCTCATAAATAAGCATTAAGTACAGGGCCGTACTTTTTAAGTAAAAAATAAATATTTTTTTTTTAAACAACATACAAAAAGATTAAATAATAAACGGCGACAGTAGATCAAAGACTAAAAGCATAGAAAGCCAAACACTGTTAAATAATTTTGCACTTTAAACAAGTAATGACGCCATAATGCTTTTATAACCCAATTACGTGTTCTCTGCATTAAATTTGTTTGCTCAAAGTTCCTGAAAGCTCAACGATATAATCCGAGAGATTATCAAAAACAAAAACAAAACTTTTAAACCTCAAACAGACCGCTAAAATCTTTCAATTAAAGATATTTAAATTGCCAGGGTAAATTATGAATTCGACTGGCAATTTAACATTAATTCAAGTTCCAAGAAGTTGTACGCACTCTGATATGTGTCGTAACAAAACCTTATTAAAGTCCTTCTTACAATCTAATGTTTTGAAAAGAGGGTAAAATTCGCTTTAAAATGATGTGTCACTTGATGTGACATGTTTCCAAGTAGGCTGGAAAACGTGAAAGTTAATTTCTTTCGAGTCATCCTTGGAAATTAGTTTTTTCGCTGTAGCTCGTTTGTTTTTCGTTTAAAGTATGTCGAGTTACGTATCAAATGAAATGTTTTTTAATTATCTACAGTAATATACAAAAATATGTATAATATTTGTTTTCACAACCCCAAAATAATTTTTTTTTTGCAAATAAACCTATATTAAATTAACGTTTTTGTTAGTTGAGAGCAAACTTGAACGTGCATTCGTGTTTTTAATTAATTTAATAAACTGAAAACCTTTCAGCTTAATTATCAAGAGGGCTCGGAAATAATTAATTTTAACTAAACTAATCGTTTTTGATCATAATATTTCTTTCAATGTAGGTCACGAAATTGCACAATAATTGTATGATACTCGAATCCCACAGAAGCATGAGCCGTCCTGATAAATGTAATTATTTTTTAATTGGTCTGGAATACAATGCACATACTCTAGAGGCGATTCCCTCTGATGCAACGAATGATTTTGATTTCACATGTTGACGCCTACACAATTTACTTGCTATTGTACTCTCGATTTTTGATGCAATTGTGGTAATTTCAAACGTTATTTATTCGATATTTCTTGGAAAAATATCAAAATTGATTGTTTTAAGGTTATGAATAAAATGTTGTATATATTATTATAGACAATTAAAAAATATTTCATTTGATATGTGACTCGACATACTTTGCACAAAAAACAAACGAGTTACAGCGAAAAAACAAATTTCCAAGGACGACTCGAAATAGATGAACTTCCACGCTATCCAGTCTACTAAGACACACAGATATACAAGTGACACATGATTTTAAAGCGAATTCTACTCTCTATCGATTCCAGCAAAATTACACTCATTTTATATTTATTTTTTTAATGCGAAAGATTAAATTTCTTTGAAATAAAGTTGATTGTTTTATATTATGAATAAAATGTT